ATTTATTTCATTTTCAATACTGACCCTGTAGTTACCTCCCGATACTTACCGTTAGTATAATATGATGTGGCACATTAGTATCTCATTTTTAGTTGAATAAAAGATCCTTTAATCCATATCAGCACAAAACCCAAATTTTAACCCCAAACAATAATCCTTTGTGTCTAACCAGTTATAAGCAACTTGTGATAGCCCTATCATTTCTGACATTGCTCTATCCAAATCCCTCACAGTAATTGCCCTTTCCATACAGTATCTTTCAATGCTTTTCCTTTATAGCCCTCAATATTCTTGAAATTTGAAAATAAGTGCCTAACACAAGGTTTATGTTCAGCATTAGGAAACAATTCAAGAATAAAGTCAACCAGTCCTTGTCACATTAGAGAATAAACAATATCAAATAAATATTAATCAAGAGTACAAATAAATATCAAACTTTAACTTTTACCTTTTGTTTATCAGACATAAATGTCACATGATGAGAGTTGGCTATGTCTAAATCCTCTCTCAATAGTTGTATGAACCATTGCCAACTATCACAGTTTTCAAATTCAACAACTGCCGCAGCTATGGGATAAATGCAATCATTTGTATCAATTCCCACAACATCCAATATGTAACCCTGATAATAACCCTTCAGAAAGCATCCATCAAGACAAAAAAAAGATTTACAATGGTTTTTTAAATCCAAGTTTGCAACTCTTCGAACATATGTACAACCTAACAAAGAGTCCATTGTCTAACTTGCATATTGTGGTTGTACTATATTTGAGCGTCTCACTTCTCCTAGGTATCTATAGATTATGCTACACTGTTCTTTATAACAACCTAAGACCTTCTGTACAACCAATTTTCTAACCCCTAGAACATTTTGTTAAACACACATAAGTTTCATAAGCTTTTCTAATATCTTGTTGCAATGAGACAATTGAATACTCTGGGTAAAAATATTTGACAATCCACTTTACAGATATTAACCTTTGATTTCTTATTCCTCTTTGATAGTTATATTCATCAATAATTGTCTTAATCTGCCATGTCTCATCATTAGGATCCCTAGGGTTCAACTTAGATGCCCATAATACCCAAGAACAAGTACCTTTACTACACCCAGCCTTCACTCTTATCATTCTTCTTAAATGATATGCTAAACCTTTCAACTCTACCGTATTTTCTAATGGCATTTTTCTAGACTTCCTTACCGACAAACGTGAGATTTTTCTTTAAAAACAAGGCATGCCATATCTAGTTCAATATTAAACTTAAGAAATATTTTTTTACTATCACTAATGCTATCAGAAGAAGAAGCGCTATGTAATTGTTAGAGTATGCCAAAAGACCAATCATATGATGATTATAATAATATAATTGTTTACCGATTTTATTGAATAAAGGATTGCCACTATTATTTTCAGTTATGTGTATGTGTTTAACATAAACTGAAAGATAATAAAGTCCATATAATAACATTATTAAAAGATCCACAGTCAAGTATTATTATGGGCATGGACAATAATAATACGCTTAAGATTAACATGTTATTGACTGATGACAAGGAGTTGTCATTGACATAGAGATGTCAGAATTGATACATGATTATATTGTTAGAAAACAATGTATTGGATTGACCCATCATGAGTATATGTCTTGGATTATTATGTAATGGTCATAACATTGCTCATGGTGATGACTATATGTATGATCCTCAGACTTGAGATCAATGTCATCCCAACATATATTATTGTATGTTTTGATACAGTTAAACATGCTTCGTAACTGGTTGCACTATAAAGACTGTTATTGAATATATTTCGATATATGTAGTGGGGTATATATATAGTTAAGATAGGATTTTTCCTTCCTACATAATAGGAAATATATCACAGGCCACTTGATTGAGTTAGACTAGAAATGCATGGCCATGCTCAAATAAGTTGATATGTGATATCATATTCGTTAATTATAGTCTACTCTATATATCAAGAAACAATAGATAGGCTATACAAGTGTGACTATTCTAAGACTTGTGCCTATTCTAGATATAAAGGACAAAAGGATGTAACACATAAAAGAGTTAATCACGAAGATGATACGTCGAATCATAATTTCTTGTAACTTAGGTGACAATGATATATTGCTAGATGTCACTCATTGTATGTAATATTAGAATTGTTCTAATAATTACTACTAACGTTACAAGAACCTACAGGGTCACACCCTAGGATTGAAATGAGAAAAAATGTACAATTTGTTATATGTTACTAAAATATATCTAGAGTTATGATAAGTATATTTGATATACATATGATTTTAATTATCCCGAATATAGTAAGTAAGCATTAAAAGAATGTAATTTAGATTACAACTCTTTTAATTGGTATATATAATTTGGAATAATTAAATAAGTTTTTAAATAAACATTAAAGATTATAATTCAGATTATAAGTCTTTAATGTATATTTAATTGAATTAATTAAATAATATTTTATTATTAATTTGAAATAACTTTGAAAACCCTAAGATATTAGGGTAATGGATATAAAAGGGTGTGTTAGGTCTAGCAGCCGTTTTTAACACACACACATAAACCTTCAGTCGTTTTCTCTCAAAATAGTTTTAGGGAAAACAAATATTGCTCTCAATCGGGTGAATTGAGTAGAGGCTGAGACGTGATTTCGTGGAGGCTTATGATTCGAACCGATCTACACCACCAGTATTCACTGCTGTTCTTGCTGTTTTTCAAGGAATCCGTTGTAAGTATTTAAATCCCTTTCTCCCGATTTCGGTTTTACGTACTTGGATCGCTGGTGAGACATCGAGTTTTGTTTCTTCAACGCTATGGGGTGCGCCGACGGTCCTAACAGTAATGACTACATCATCATCACTATCAGAAGAAAAACTATTACAAGTAGTATGATTAGATACAAACCCTAGGTTCTCTTGTACACTACCAATGACAAAAATATCAAACCTCTTTAGTTGTATCAAAAGGATCATTTTCAGTATCCACAAATCCAAATTCTTAAGTTTCATGCTTAGATGGGCAATAATTAGAACCTTCATATTCTAAAGTTTCATTTTCACTAGTTTATGACAAAGAGAAGTAAAAGGAAAAGAAATACCAGTTAAATGACAGAAAAGGAAAAAAAAAGTTAAATGCGTAATAGGCCAAAACAGATTATCCTACACTGTATGGACACCACATCTCCATAAAAGTTCAAACAACCAAACAATAAACATGCATACACTGGTTCACCACCACATTTAAGTCCCAACAACCAATATTTAAATAACATCAATGTTTATCGTTTTGTATTCAAACACACTGTCCAATAAACATACAATACAATATGGCAAATCAATAAAAAAAATAAGAAAAAAAAATCCAAAATCAAAGGATTTTATATTCAAACACAATGTCCAATACCATCAAACAACAATTACACATGCATTCCCTAGCTATAAATCCAAAATCAAATAGTTTTCTTAATCATACAGTAACTCAATTATACAACAACTCAATCAAATGGTTACAACCCAAATTTTTTTATATCTTATTGGGACTAACATCACATTCAATATGAAAATTCCATAATATAAAAAGTCAATCAATTTCAGTTTTTAAAATATTTAACCTAAAAACATCAAAAAAATTACACCCTTGAACAACTTATTAATCAAAACATAAAAAAAAAACTCAAATACATCAAAAAGAACAACTTAGCATTTGCCACACTTGAACAAACCTTCGATCAAGTCCTTCTCGCCCTAATTTTCATCCACCAACAATCAAATTTCTATATAAAAAAAATCCTAAACCTAAAAACCCTTCAATTTGATCGCTCAATAAGTTTAAAACTCATATAAGTTTTCCTAAATTTAATACGACGCCGTTTTGTTTTAATTTTTACAGTTGAAAACGGGATACTAACGTGCCACATCATATTCTACTAACGGCAAGTAACGGGAGGTATCGACAGGGATGGTATTGAAAAAATAAATAAAAGTTAGATGATTGTATTGTAAGTTTTAAAAGTTGAGTGACCAAAATGTTAATGCCCTAAAATTTCGCGGACTATTTATATACTTTACCCTTAATATAATTCAAAGAGTTTAAAATTTAAATTAATATAACTAAAAGCAAAATTTAATACAATGAATTGTCATGTCAACATTGTAACAAGTCAACGACAAAATATGTTGGTCAAAAGATCACATTGAGTTTATTTTCTGAATTAGAGGGTCATATGAAGTAGAAACAAATAATACAATGTTCACATTAAAAATACTGGGGACCTCAAATATTTTTTTTGCCTTTTATGTTCTTTTAATTTTATTTATTTCAATAAAAATATTTAATTTTGCACAATAATTATATTATTTTATTAATAATAAAAAAGTTATCATTACCCAATGGATACCAAGTCCCATATACGAGAAACCAAAATTTCAGAAAGCAATCCAACACCTTATGGCTCGCGATCAACATAAAAAAGAAACTTCCTCTTACAAAATTTCATTGTACATGAGTGCCGACATTCCCAATCAATGCAATTGATACATAAACTCCGTATCGAAGCCATCTTGCGGTGGTTTGAATATTTCTGAGTGTTTAAAAAGTTCATTACGTGATTGGGGTCGTCATCAGTCATTTAATTAGACATGATTGAATAATCTTAAAATCTAATCTACATCAAAACTAATATTATGATCAGATTTGAGAGTTGATTACACATGAAGAAGGTTGAATCACTCCCATGGTATCCAAAGTTGGTACCTAAAGGTTTATGTTAATAATATGATAAAGTTTAATGACGATTATGTAATAGTTCAATAAATATAATGATTATCTTGCAGCTTCGGAAACTTCAATGGTCAACAGTCCATTTTGACATAATTCAGTAATTATTTGTGTATTTTACCCATAAACAAAAACAAAATGAAATTAAAGAATAATTTCAGTTGAATACCCTAAAAAATAATTAAAAATTTTGCACAGTGTGGTGAAAAAAATGGATTCGATAGAAGACTGGGATTTGCTGGATTATAGTTTCATCGAAAAAAATACATTGCCGAATGTAGTTTTGCCCAATTACACTCTTTTTTCCCTTTTTTTGTGAAAAGAATTTCGATTTAATCTAGGTTTTGTTTTTCTCAGTAACTTAATGAATTAATGGTGGAATACTTTTTCCTGAGATTTAAATTCGATTTATTCTTTGACACTGTTATCGTTTCAGTAGTGGTAGAGAAATTGAATTCTTATCTGGAAATGTTGTGCATCGAGAAAAGGATTTCGTCGATGGAGGTTGCCCGTGGAAGATGTATTGCTTCAACTCTTATTTCAATGTTCCTCTATTTTCTTCGCGGTTTTAGGTTATTTGATCGTTGAATATAATGCAGAAAGTATGAATCTAAAGTGTGCATTTTCTTTCGACTGATAACTAGTTCAGGGATTTAAATAGCGATTGAGATTGTATTTTCGGTTGAGGTTTTGCGTTTATCACGATTGCGGAATAGTGGCCGCTATTCCGGTGATTGTAGGTATCACGGTCATACAATAGCGGTATCGGACGGCACCACTACCGGTATATAGAGATGGTAAACGGGCGGGTCGGGTGCGGATACCCCCTCCCCCATCCCCATACCCACCTAATATTTTTTAATCCACCACCCGCCCACCACCCATGATGGGTACAAATTTTCAAATCCACACCCGCCCACGCGGGTACATTTTCAAATTCATCCCCACACCCACTACCCACTAGCGACATACCCATCTAGACCCTCCTGACAGCAAACTAATGGGATGTTGGAGTTGGTTCCCAGACAGTTCGTGATAGGGTAGCAACGCATGCTTCAATTTGTCAAAGGAGTGGCTCTACGAATGTTATGGAGACAAATTGTAAGGAGCATGTAGTCTCAGAGCTGGATTGTTGAGTTGTTTTCGATGTTAATGCTCATAGTGCGCCTAATATGGGTTTTGAGGGACTAAAGAACATGGAAATTGCTACTTTTGATGTTAATGCATATAGTACAGTTAATTTGTGTTTGGATGCATGGGCTAAAGAACATGGAAAGTGACGTGGTTAGTGGGATTATGGGTTTAATCAAAGAGCCGAATATTTCCCTAATTAAAGACCAGATTAAAGACTAAATATCCTTAATATTTGGTTAAATTATATGTTATATATTATAAAATTTTAAAATTTATAAATTAGTCTCTAAAATTACACCTAAATTCATAATGGTCCAAAATTTAATAGATATTTAACTGGGCGGGCGGATGCGGGTCGGGTGGATGCGGGGCGGGTAATGTCTCAAACCCATTACCCGCCCACCACCCACGACGGGTACCACTTTATAAATTCACACCCGCCCACTACCCGCTAAAATTATACCCATCCCCGCTCCAATTGGAGCGGATGCGGTGCGAAATCCACGAAACTATACCCGTTTGCCATCCCTACCGGTATATCGCATCACTGACCGCAATTTAAATCCTGCTAGTTCTTAGAACAAAAAAAAACCCCAATATTTTTGGCTTTTTTTTACTTCTTGTTATATTTGAGATCCATTGCAGTAAAAAAACATTAGGACTTCAAGTTTTTATATAGTTTTGTTTGCTTTATTGTTATATGTCTTATATTGATTGCATTTCTAGGCGACGCAATGGATCATGTAGCAGGCTAGGGACCAAAGCTTGCCGTGAGAAATTAAGACGGGAGAAATTGAATGAAAGGCATGTATCTTCCTCCATTAGATTCTTCAAGAAATTGTTCTAACCTTTGATATTTTCTTGTTATGATTTTTAAGCAAGGGTATTATTTTTGGTTAATGTTGCAGTTGTTTTTCGTTAGAAAAAAATTTGAGATCCATTGCAGTAAAAAAACTTAGGACTTCAAGTTTTTATATGTTTGTTTGCTTTATTGTTATATGTCTTATATTGATGCATTTCTAGGCGACGCAATGGATCATGTAGCAGGCTAGGGACCAAGCTTGCCGTGAGAAATTAAGACGGGAGAAATGAATGAAAGGCATGTCTTCCTCCATTAGATTCTTCAAGAAATTGTTCTAACCTTTGATATTTTCTTGTTATGATTTTTAAGCAAGGGTATTATTTTTGGTTAATGTTGCAGTTGTTTTTCGTTAGAAAAAAATTGTGATAATTTTGAGTTGATTACTAGTTGTATTCTACATTTTCATCTCTTTCAAGAAGTTACGATGGAAGTTAGATCGATCGAGATTATGCCTTTGAAGCACATTGAAGGTCTGAGAATAACATTTTGTTATTCTCTTGTAGGTTTATGGATCTAAGCTCTATTTTAGAGCCTGGGAGACCTGCCAGGACTGAAAAATCCGCAATACTAGATGATGCAATTAGAGTTTTGACCCAACTAAGAACCGAGGCTCAGGAGCTCAAAGAAACAAATGAAAAGCTATTGGAGGAAATAAAAAGTTTAAAGGTTAGTCACACACACACACACATAGACGAGTAATTCTCTATAATCTGCTCAAATATTCAATGAACTCCTAGTCTTTCAACTCTTTAATTTGTTAAGTAGTGTTCTTTGGCATTTGAAGAATGTACAGTGTATATTGCTGACTTTGATGTTGGTTTATCATACCATATGTGGATCAGTTTATTGTTTGATATTATGAGTATTGTTGAGATGGATAAAAATTCAGAAGTTAATTATTGTGCTCATTTGTGACTCCATTTTGTGGAGCTGGAAACCTGTTTATTGCCCTGTCTCATCGTTGTATATTTGATCATTTGCATTTGTATGCAACTTATGATTGAAATTACCATGAAGTTTCCTAGCTTATAAATCCTTGTAACCGAATTCGGTTTCTTCATGGTGGTGTCAATTCTGTTTCTCCCACTATGTACTGTAAAACAAGTTGGTCTTTATCCAAATTAGCAAACTAAAGAGATATTATAGCAGTTGAGCTTGGAAAGTTGGCAGAGTAAAGTCCAGATTATTGGGAATTAACTGAGGAAGCAGAATCACCTGTAACATGTATAGATATCAATCTTGTTGATGAATGATTTTTCCCGTTGTTTCATATTGCATCGTAAACACTATCTTCTGTTTGTTTCCCGTTTTCCTTCATTAACTTTCCAAAACAACAGGCTGAGAAGAATGAAATTCGTGACGAGAAGCTTGCACTGAAGGCAAATAATGAAAAGTTAGAGCAGCAGCTGAAAACGTTGACTGCCTCACCAGCTGGATATCTTCCTGCTCACCCAGTAGGGTATAATGCTGCAGCCAACAAGATGGCAGTTTTTCCGGGTTATGGTTTTGTCCCAATGTGGCAATATTTACCTCCATCAGTACAGGATACGTCTCAAGATCACGAGCTTAGGCCCCCGGCAGCGTAGTGTGCTTTTCTTCATTTTATGAATATGTTTTGAGTATCCTCCCTTGACTTTGGCCTTGGCTAATCGGGTAAATATTCATTTTATGAATACTGTGAATTGGTGCAACTTGTTTTTGGAGTTTGATCATGTTAGGCCAACTTACAGCATGGTTTTCTCTTCTGAAATTTATGCTTGGGAATGTAAAGAAATGACGTATTCTATGCAAATTATTTCAGAAGATTTCCGTCAGATTTTTGTATTCTATGCAAATCATACCTTCAAAATTTCATAGCATGGAGTTACCACTGCTATGCCTGTTGTGCAACAGTTGTGCACTGTTGCATACTAAGTTACCCCATCTAAATTGACTAAAAATTGTTGAGATGCCTCTGTCGTTCTATGAACTCTTCTTAGCCGAGAAAGTTGGGATGTCTCCTTCCTGGTAATAGGAATCACTCCATTATCACCTCACAGGGTGTAGAGAATCCTCCATCCAAAAGTATCGAGATGCCTTCGCTTAATTCATATCGGGAAGGAATTGCCTCGTACTTTAGGTGTAACAACTTTGTAGCTTGGCCCAATAGTTTTGGAAGCATTCCCTTAGCAACTAGACTACATTCGTTGTTACTATGAGCATTGGGATGCCTTTGTCTTAGTAAGGAGAGATGGATGCTTCTCTCTTTGCTCCTACAACAACAAAGAAGCCTCTTCCCGCTGAACAGAGACACCTCCGAGTGCATCAAGTTACCTTCTCTACCAACAAAAAGTATCAAATTTTTCATCTACCAAACACTGGCAAAAAGAGTTAAGATGTCTTATTCCTGGCGATAGAAATGGATTCATCATTGTATTATAAGACTAGAGAATCCTTCACCCAAAAATGTCGAGATACCTCTGGTTAACTTTTACTGGATACGAGATGCATCATGCCCTAAAGAGTATGAGACACCTCCTCTTAGTGATAGGAATTTCTTACATATTACTACGAAGCATAAAGATGCCTTAGCCATAATAAGAGGGACATAGACCTCATTGCCTCTAAGACCAACAAAGAAGCCTTGACCGCATAATAAGACTCTTCAAAGGGTGTGGAGTTGCCTGCTCCCCTGGCTGAAAACACAGACGTCTCTTGCAATGTTACAAAGTTTTCACCGACCAAAGCAGAGGGCAAAGCAAACCAAAAGTCATTAGGTTATACATGTTATTGCTGGAATAGTGGGATTAGAACAAACTGAACTAGACCCAATTTTCCCCGTGAAAGTTAACGAAAGAAAAAGTGCATCGCCTCCCAAAGTAGTAGCGACCGCAAACTCGAGCTTTCTTCTTCTCTAATGAAGTGGATGCACCCTTCTCTCCAAGCTTACTGTAAGTCAGTTTTCTCTTCTCAGTTGGACCTACGAACAACGTCTTCGGATTCATGCTTAAAACCCTTGTAGGTTTCGACCTAACAAATGAAAACTGTAACTCCCCAAATTCTCGCACCAGAGCTGGCTCCACACTAGCAAGAGAGGTAGCATCGAACGCGACAGTCAAAGAACCCTTCTCCCTAACACCTTATGAAGGATTAACCTCCCCAGCCTCCGCGAGAGCATCCATCACGACCCCCTTTGACCACACTTTAAAACTTCAAGATCAACTGAACCCACCTTCGTTCCAATGGAATGAGCCATCACAACCATTGCAAAAGGAAAACGAATACACAATCAATAACATAAAAAATAAAATCCAATGCATGAGAAATCATACACCCACAAGAAGAATCACTAGAGGAATCACTCAACGACTCACTATCCGAAGGACCGGCACATAGAAGACCAACATTCAACAGCCTCAACAAACTCTTAAGTCCCTCTTCCTCATCCTCCAACGACATTTTTATACGAGACTGAACACTATAAGGATTAACGCTTTTACCATCCGTTTTCACCAAGGGAACAATAGGTAAGATTGATGTATCCTGTGGGGATGCTTCGACCAACTCCACTGCTTTCACCTACAACAACATCTTCACTCCCTCAAACGAAATCATCAAGTCTTAACAAACCAAACACACCCTCATTAAGTGAAGACCTCGAATCCTCACCTCATTCTTCTCTTAGAATCTTGCCAGAGTGTATCAGTTCCTCTGGAATAAATCATCATCAAAGTGGATATTGTTAAGTGTTTAACTCAAATTCGATGTAAAACAAATTAATGAAGATATTAAGGTGGCATTTGGTTGGCATGAATCTCTTAGAATTAGGGGAATTGGAATCTAAGTCCATCACTTTTTCATGTTTGGTTCAAGTTTTCCAAGGGAATTGAAATCCCTCATGGCTTCAACTTTCCATCAAAGGAGGGAAAGTGAATTTCATCCATTCTACGATGAAATTTAATTCCCTTGTTGGAGGGAATTGAAATTTGACCATACTACCCTCATCAATCTTTTGGTAACTTATTCATATATTGAATAAAAATATTTTTTATTATTTCGGGTCGGGTCGGGTTTCTAATTCATATATTCAGGTCGGGTCGGGTTGGTTTCTTTAAGTGTGATATTCGGGTTGGGTCGAGTTTGGGTTTAGGGTAAAAACACCCAACCCAAAAATATATATAATATTACCTTATATATTTAGGAATAATTACAATAATACCTCTCTATATATAATTTGTTTTCAATTGTCACTATTTTATTAAATAAAAAATATTTCTTTTATTATTTCGGGTCGGGTCGTATTTCTCTTATTATTTCAGGTCGGGTCGGGTGAAACTTTATTTTGGTCGGGTTGGGTCGTTTTTTTTTTAATGTGATATTCGGGTCGGGTTTAGGGTGAAAAATACCCGACCCGACCCGACCCAAAAAAAATATAATTTTACTTTATATATTTAGGAATAATTATAATAATACACATCTCTATATTTTTTCCAATTAAGTCACTGTTTTTATTGAATAAAAATATTTTTTTTATTATTTCGGGTCGGATTTCTAATTCATATATTCGGGTCGAGTCGGGTGAAACTTTATTTTGGTCGGGTCGGGTCTCGGATGGAGGTTCCCTTGTTCTCGGACCCGACCCAACCCGACCTATGGCCATCCCTAATTGGGATGATTTTAACTTATGATGTTTATTAGCATGATTTTTATAATTTATTGAAATGAATAATCAATCAATAAAATTAAATTTTAATTTTTTTACAAATTTTTATAATATATTGCTACATGTAATTTATAAAACAAACTAAAATTAAGCAAAAAAAATAAGAAGGGCAATCCTGTCATTTTACATTACTGAAATCTAATTCATCTGACATGTCTGTGAAACAAACAGAATATGAAATTGGATTCCAATTCAATTTCCTGCCAACCAAACAGAATATGAAATTGGATTCCAATTCCTGACAGATTCCAATTCCTTCACAGATTCCAATTCCCTCAGAAACATTCCAGCGAACCAAACGTCACCTAAGAGATAATTACAAAAAGTAAGAAACTTAGGTGGCGTTTGATTCGCTGGAATCCCTTGGAATTAGGGAGAATTGGAATCCAATTCCACCACTTTCTCATGTTTGGTTCAAATTTTCAAAGGGGGAATTGGAATCCAATTCCATCAAGGGATGGAAAGTAAATTACATCCATAACATTATGGAATTGAAATCTTTTGGAGGAGGGAATGTGAAATTTGACCATACTACCCTCATCAATCTTTTGGTATTCGGGTTCGGGTCGGGCTTTTTTAAGTTTGATATTCGGGTCGGGTTGGGTTTTTTTTTAAAAAAATCGGGATCGAGTCAGATTTTTTTTAAAAAAAATTTGGGTTCGGGTCGGGTTTAGGGTAAAAAATACCCGACCCGAAAAATATATAATTTTACGTTATATATTTAGAAATAATTACAATAATACCCCTCTATATAAAATTTTTTTCAATTAAGTCATTGTTTTTATTGAATAAAAATAATTTTTTTATTATTTCGGGTCGGGTCGGGTGAAACTTTATTTTGGTCGTGTCGGGTCTCGGGTGGAGGTTCCCTTGTTATCGAGTCGGGTGGACCAAAAACCTGACCCAACCCAACCCATGACCATCACTAATGGGATGATTTTAACTTATGATGTTTATTAGTATGATTTTTATAATTTATTGAAATAAATAATCAATCAATAAAATGAAAATTTAATATTTTTTAAATTTTTATAATATATTACTACATGTAAGGTATAAAGCAAACTAAAATTAATCAAAAAAACAAGAAGGACAATTCTGTCATTTTACATTACTGAAATCAAATTCATCTGATATGTCTGCGAACCAAACAGAATATGGAATTGGATTTCAATTCAATTTCCTGCCAACCAAACAGGTTTCAGATTCAAATTTCAATTCCTTCACAAATTTAATTCCCTCAGAAACATTCCAGCGAACCAAACGCCACCTTAGTTTGATTGTAAGTAGGAAACTTATTTTCTTTTATATTGATTAATAGTAGAAAACCTACTTTAGTAGATTTCTACTAAACAAGTTTCCTTCGTAATAAAATAATTATCCCTATAAACAAGTATTTTAAAAAAAATTATACAATTATAACTTTAACATTTTAATTTATAATTAGAGATAGACATATGATTTTATGCTCAGGGTGGACATATAAAATTTTATAGGCAAAAACATATTATTAATATAAAATATATATAAAATATCTAAATCATATAAAAATTTGAACTTTTCAGATAGACGACTCTTCCCTCCATCCCATCCAAGCCTGTTTACAATAATTTATTTTATATTTCAACATGCCAGTTATTCAAATCGAAAGATAAGTGCTTTCATAAATAATATGTTACCATGAATTAAAAAACACTACATTAACACATAAAACACCATCTTTTTCATAAAGAAAAAGAGAAGGGTTGTCCGGAACCGAATTCGAGACCAAATGTTAATCAAAACTAAAACGCGATATCTTTTATCAATACATTACAGATTTAATCAACAAAACATTAAAAGTTTCGGACTTAATATAAAACGTAAATAAATTCGAACCCGAATGGATACGTCGTCATCCCTACGACAA